GAAGGAAGGAAGGAAGGAAGGAAGGAAGGAAGGAAGGAAGGAAGGAAGGAAGGAAGGAAGATAAAGGATGACACAAAAAAGAACTATTGTAGAAGTACAGTGTTGGCATTATTAGAAGCTCATCAGAAGAAAGCACGAGAATTGCTTTATGGGGAGAAGAAACTATTAATTTTATATATGTGGTTTTGGAATTTATGGTGAATACTATATTCTGAGAATAACAGATCCCCATGATCATGGTCCATCCAGCCTAAAAGGAATGGATAAGAAAACATTTAAATATATGATACTAGTGCTAAAATCATTCAAATCTGCTCATGGACAAACTAATTAAGTTTAGCCTGTAGATTATCAGATAATGTTTATTGTTATTGTTTGTTCAGACAAACGTATCAGTTGACTCTCCTTCTCAAAAGAAATACCAGCTCCCATTCTCACATTCTTGACCCAAACACCACTGTTATTAAATCTGTGAATAAACACTCATAATGTGAAATTTGTATCTGTCAACCAATATAATCGTAGGAATTATGTGTCAATACCAATAAAACAATTGGTGATGAAAAGGTGAGTATCTGATAAGGTATGCTAACAAGTAGAGTAGGGATTGTTTAATGCCAAGTGAAATTCAATCTTGTCCAGAGTACAAAGACAAATAGCAAGAAAAATTAGCTCTAGAAATGAGGAGAAAACACAAAGAAAATAAGTGATGACTAGATGACATCCATATGGTACAGCTGCAAGAAGAAGAAACACAATTATCCATCTGCAAATTTCACCAGGACTAGGGTAACACCATTGTACAAGACTTTGCCAAACCATCATTTGGAATATCATGTCCTATTTGGATATTTCATCTGTAATGTAGTAATGATTTCCTTGTTGGGCAAATAGTTGTATATTCAACTAAAAACAAGTAGCTAAACAAAATGTTTTTGTAAGAATTTTTTTAATTTGTTTTGTTTCGGGGGAAAGTAATGCTTACCATAGGAAACAAAGGCATTCCAGCAGAAGGACCTGTGTATCTCAGATTGTGTAAAGAATTGTCATGAGTCATGAGTCAGCTGGTATTTGAGGATAGAAGGGGACACTGGGCTCAATGTTCCCCTAATGTCTGCCTATGATGCCAGTGGCTATTTTTCACAAGCACTACCTTTTCATTACTTTTCCAGACTTCAATTTATGTAGAATGATTTCTAACTGGGCTTCCTGACCAGCTTTCTGCCCAAAGCCATTGGAGGAGCTTCATATCCTCTGCCATGCCTGTGAGACTGAACAGGTTGGACCTCAAGTGCTCACTTCCTTAGAAATGTTACTGACTGGCAATAGCCAAAGGTCATCTTCCTGCCAAATTCCAAATGAGGCTGTCTGTCTTTTCCCTGAACTCCTGGATATTCCAAAACAGCCAGAAGCCCATGCTCACGCAGCATATTTTTAAAGTTTGCTGTGATTTTAAAAATCTAATTAGATTTTCCTAGTCTCACACTGGTTTTTATCCCCTTCACTGGTCTGATTGATTTCTTCAACGTTCTAATTCTCCAGGTCCTGCATCTGTCAACTATATTGTTTAGATGTAACAGTAGGACCCTTCCGCATTTAGCTTTTTATTGTTGTGGAACTCTTCAATAATTAATTCAAGTACTCTCCTCATTTTATATTTCATTTGGGAGCCAACTGTGCTTTCTGTGTTTAGCACAACAGAAAGACCAAGACTATACAGAGGGATAAGATTTTCACTGGGTATGTTAATTAGTTGCCTACACAGTACTAACAAAACCTTGGCATACTAGGCCAGTGTCTCACATACTATCTTTAGGGATTTGGGTTTGGTTTGGTTTGGTTTGAAGTCTTCCCTGCATGTGAGCAGGGTTTAACTTCTGCCATGATTCACAATGTCACCTAACACACAAGCCTATCATTTATATTGGGGTTGGTAATCTGCAGCCCCCGGGGCCACATGGGGCCCTCTGATTCCTGTATTGCAGCTGCTAAAAAGCTCTCATGTGATTGCAGTTGCTAAAAACTGGCAGCATAGTTCCCTGCCATTTTGAGAAGGAACAACCCTTTTGAAATGTAGCATAAGCCTCAGGTCGTGGAAGTTACATTAGAAGCTACAGTTCCTCAGGACAGAAAGGCTAATGATGTCAAGAACTCCAAGGTGGAGCTGTGCAAGGCACAAGGTCCATTAAAACAGGTTTCCTCAACCTTGGCAACTTTAAGATGGGTGGACTTCAACTCCCAGAATTCCCCAGCCAGCAAGGAAT